TTATTTCATTTTTTGAGACAGTCCCACTCTTGTCTCCCTGGGTAGAGTGCTAAGGCATCATCATAGTTCACAACAACCTCAAACTCTTAGGCTAAAGCTATCCTTTTGCCTCAGCCTTCCAAGTAGCTGGGACTACAAGTGCGTACTGCAACACCAGGCTAATTTTCCTCTTTTTATTATTTTTTTGCAATTTTTGGCCGGGGCTGGGTTTGAACTCGCCACCTCTGGTATATGGGGCTGGGGCCTTACTCCTGTGAGTCATAGGTGCTGCCCTAGTTTTCCTCTTTTTAGTAGAGATGGGGTCTTGCTCTTGCTTACGCTGGTGTCAAATTCCTGAGTCCAGGCAATCCACCTGCCTCAGCCTCCCAAAGTGCTAGGATTACAGGCCTGAGCCACCACACCTGGCCCATTTTCTGGAAATATTAAAACTATTTTTTCTTTTTAGATTTAAACCAGAGATTTATTTATATCTATAGTGTGTGGTGGGGATCTAACCGATAGGGGTGGAAAAACTCAGGAGGTGCCCCACAAGGGGACAAGAAAAGAATTTCTCTAGACAAAGATTAGGATAGAAAGACGTTTGTTTACTCTTTCTGGATGTAAAAGGGCCAACACAAAGGGGAAAAGGAAAGGTGTGTTGGCCTAGAAGGCCAGTTATTCAGACTTTTTATTTGGGCAATGAGGAACAAAAGGGGATGAAAGATGATTGATTGCTGTAGTTAAATGTCCTGTCAGTTCCTTCTGTCCTGCTGTGGTGGCAGCAGGTGATACCAGAGTCAGCTGCGCAAAACTGTTGGATCCGTTTCTTCTTTTAGCAGTGATGGCTGTTAGAGATTTTGTCTTGATCTTGCTGTAAAGATATATTTTGCAGGTTTGAAGCTTGGAGTCTGTCCGCCCCTATCCCTCCACCCCATTGTGCGTCCAGGACATTTTCAGGAATCACTTGAAGCTACAGGCACAGATTCTAAAAGGCAGATTTAGTGAACAGGTCCAGCAATCCATAAGGAAAATTTACGTTTCCTTTTGGTGGGCTGAGCTTGTGAAAACCGAAATCCACAGGGTGCCCAGCAAGAGAGTTTCTAGGATTGATATTTAACTGTTGCTACCAAATTGCAAGATTAGGCATTTCCTTGTTCCTTTTATAATTTTGATAAGGCCATCCCTTTCATTAAACTTCTTTATTCAAATGGCTGCTCTAAGGGAATATTTCCTTAACCTCTTGTAGCCCCTAGCCAAGACTTTTCCCTGAAGGATGCGGAAGGCACCCTGACATTCTATTCATCTTTTTCTAGACTTCACAGAGATCTACCCTCATTGGTTTCCACTTGCATTTTTAATCATCCTGTGACCTAAAACAAAATCATAAGCCTCCCCACCCAACAGAATGAATGGACCCTCTCTTGGCCAAAGGGACCCCTAGAAATACCCTACGACTGAGTAACTGGCTATCTCCTCCTTCCCTATTTTCCTCAAACTCCAGGCCCAGCCTAACTAGTAACATATTAACTTGGTTTTCCTGTTTATCAGTTCCCTTTTACTCCCTTCCTGAGTCATGGTCTTTCCTTGAACAGTTGCTGAAACTACCCTTTCTGCACACAGCCTGCTTTACACGCAGCATTTTTTTTGTTCTGGAAAGCCTTGGGATTCTGTTAATACCTATCGCTGTAGGTGCTAAGGGGAAACAGATGAAGAATATGACCTATAGAAGCTTCCCATCACTGAGAGGACAAAGCTGACACCTGGCAGAGGTAAATGCCACCATAACAAAATAAGCTAATTTGTAGATTTTAGCTTAAAATGATTGGATCTGCCTCCTCTGACTCTGGTGTTGGGACTATAAGGTCCTTTGAACCTCCATCAAGGTTAACACCAAATCCCACTGGCTTAATTCAGATCTACTTTGATGACCCTGGTTTCGTTTCTCTGTTCCCCATGATTGGAACTCCTAGACTTTCCCACAAACATATGAAGATTTATAGTTCAAAGCTTAGGAGATAAAGGCGAAACTGTTGTGTGTCAGTGAGCAGGCTAAACTCATGATTAGGAGAAAAGCACTCGGAGTCTGGGTGGGCAGATTTTGCTGTTTAAAACAGAATCACAGTAATAATCCTTGTGGGGGAACGCAGGACCAAGCTGGACCTTTTGGACATACTTAGACCATGTTGCTTTTTGTTCTGGATGCTGGAGGGAGGTGAAGGCCATCATCTTCTCAGTACATGGGATATCTAAATATCATCAGGTACTCCTGGGCTCTTGATGTGCCTCCAGCCTCATCTGGCTTTGCTTCTGCTCCTCAGGAGGGGTAAAAGGAATCCAAATGAAGAGCCTCATGTCCAGGTCTGAGTTTCTGCTTTAAAATGTGTCTGGGCTCTCAGGGACTCTGGGACTGGGTCCTTTCTGCCTCTTGCCAGTGTCCCACATCTTCTTCGGGGCCAGCATGGAATTGAGGTGTGGAATCTGCTGACCCTCTTTCCAAATGCCTTATCTCTCCGCAGGTCACCTAGCCCCTGATCTACCTGTGCCCTTCTCCAGATACTCTGTTCCCTCCCTGAAGTCTGGTCCCTGGTCTTGTTCTTTCCGGAGTGCTGACAGTGATAACTTACAAGGGGGTCTTTTCCGAGAGCACAGAGAAAGAGGGCGAATCTGAGTCTTTCCCCTCACCCCATCCATCATAAGCATCAGTACTTTATGTTTGGTCTAGAGCCCAGTAAGCTGGGACGGGACTGCTGGGGCATGCCACGACTCCGGTCTAATTTTTCACATTCTCATTCTTGTTCAGGCTCACCTCCAACTCCTGGCCTTGAGTCTGCCAGGTCTTGACCATCCAGAGTGCTAGGATCACAGGTGTGAGCCACCACTCCTGGCCTGGGAATGTTCTTTGTAACCCTCCTTGAGTTATTCTGTCAGTTATTCTGTTGGTTGACACTGGAGACTATTTAATAATAGTCTTCATCAAGGAGCCATAAATGACAGGCTGCACATGCCATGTCCCTCACGCGTAATCACCTTTAATCCTCCCAATAATCCTAGAGAACAGGTATTAATATTAGTTCCTACTGTTCAAAGGAAGTCTGTGAAACACAGATTGATTAAAGGATTTGCTTAAAGTCACATCGCTAGAGCATGGCAGAGCCAAGATTTGGATCCAGCTCTGTCTTGCCAAAGCCCACACTTGCCTTTAATGACTAAAGACCTGTTGTTACTAACATGTAGATTATCTCAGCAAAATCTAGCCACAATTCATTAATGTTATATTAACATATACTCAGTAAGAAGAGGTATCTGTTTGGGTTACCTTAAAAATCAAATATTCAAAATGGTTCTGTTTTATGAGAGTCTTGGACACAGTTTTTATGGGAAAGACAATGGAACTTGAGGGGGTCATCAAAGCAAAGTCAGATACAAAAAAATTGGAGAGATTTTTCAAGATTTGGATACTGGAGCAAGTGTTTATTCTTGAATCATTTTTTTTTTTTAGACAGAGCCTCAAGCTGTCCCCCTGGGTAGAGTGCCATGGCATAGCTCACAGCAACCTCCAACTCCTGGGCTCAAGTGAGTCTCTTGCTCTGCCTCCCAAGTTGCTGGGACCACAGGCACCCACCACAATGCCTGGCTATTTTTTTTCAGTTGCAGCCATCATTGTTGTTTGGCAGGCCTGGGCTGGATTCGAGCCTGCCACCTTAGGTGTATGTGGCTGGCGCCTTAGCCACTTGAGTGACAGGTGCCTAGCCTCTTGAATCATTCTTGTTCCAGGGATCTTACAGCTCAACAACAGGGATTCACTAAGGGCCCACATATTGGAGCCTGGCAGAAGACAGAGCCAGAAGAGCAGGGCCGATCAAAAGCAGAGGCAAGGAAGACCTCTCGTCTGTCTCTTGCTTTTGCCACTGTCTTCACCCATAGTCAGAAATGGGCAGAAAGGACTAGAAAAGAACTAAGTCCTCTGTGTTACCAGATGGAGAGGGTCTGGCCATCTGTCACTGTCAGCCAATATGCAGAGATGGGGATAGGTTCACCAAGCTTTGTCAGAAGGCCAGGATTCTGGAGAATGGTGAGAGTAGCCTCTCCAAAACTGTTGTGTTCTTCCATTTCCAAAATTATAGTTTTATACATTTACATTCAAAGTGAAGACCATGTTAACCCTTATCTTAAACAATAATAGGCAGAACCTATGACCCATAGTAAACAACAAACAGGATAACTCTTGACCCAAAACATCATTTTAATTCAAAAGTTAATTTTCTAAATGAATCCTCCTAAACTACTCAATACGCATCTTTAGGGTGTGTACAAAACAGTTAGAATGGGGGTCCAAGGGTGAAGGTCAGGCAGGACCTAGACTCCATCTTATTCTCACTATATGTGCTTCCACTGATGCTGAGAGTGAATTTGTGTGTATAAATGATTCACGTACAAAGAAGGCAACTCTGATCTCCATTATCAGACCATTAACTTCAGATGAAGCCCACCTTCTTGACTAGGATGCTGGAGCTGGGAATCTGTAGACCATACCTCTGCTTTGCCAGCGGCTTCCTATTGGACACAGCCAATAAGGGGAGCTGGAGGGACTTCCTGTTTGCTTCCCATCTACTTCCTGCTTCCGAGAGCATCGTCATAGCAACATCTGTTTACTACGCAGAGGCTGTTGGGTGGAGAAGCTGCACTAAATCCATTTTCCAGTAACTGAGGACAGAGCTGTCAGGTGCCTCTTGAGAAGTCTAGGTCTCAGCATGGGGTCTTTGCTCTGAGCACAGAGACCCCAGCGTTAGTTGAACAGCAGCCCCCTTGGAGGTCTGAGTTTCAGCTTCTTGGGACCTCACTACTCCAATTTGGTATTTTTCACTTCCTCCCTTTATTCCTTCAGTCTAGGGATGATAGTTGCTTACAACAATTGCTACTGTGCTAATAATTTAGCACCCCTCCCATTCAGTTATTTACTTAACTTTATACCTAGTTAAGTCCTTTATATTAAATTTGCCCTGATCAAATATTTGGGCAGAAAATGCTTCTTTTTGGTAGGGGTTGTTGGGAGTGGGATAGGGAGAGGCTAAAATAATGACATCAGCTTTGAAAAAGACATTCTCTACACTGGCTTGCCAAAACCACCCCGTGGGGCTCTCACTGACGTCCAACAGTCCCTGGTATCCATTCTTTATAGACTGCCACTAACCTAGACGTTCCTGAGGGAGACCTACTGCCTGGAATCCTGTGGGTAATTCTCTACAACCAACAGTTCATTAAAGGCTTAAATATAGGCATTTTTTATTTTTTTAGCAGTTGCCTTTGAAGAGTAAGCTTTCTTTTAACAAAAAAGTAAAATAACAAAAGAGAAGTTCTTGAAGGATATTTTTAGCGTGTCCTTCTTGGAATGTTGAGTGAACAGGAGGAATGACATTTTCATTCTTAAACAAAAGAGGGCAGGGACATACCTGCTTTCAAGTTCTCGTATGAGCATTGACAGGGTTTTATACGTAGTTTCATGGCAGGAGCACAGGTACAAATAGGGCTGTGCTAGTTGAAAGACCTGCTTGCCTTCTCGGAATATTGGCGGTGGTTTTTCTACCTCATTTACCTCCCTCAATGACTTGTCCTTCCGACTATGCCCCTGGATGATTTATCTGAGCTTGCTTACTTATCTGAGAGTAGGGAGCCCAACGATGACTGACAGAGCTCCTGCTGCTCTCTCCCTTGCAGAGATTAAAGAGGAACCTGGGGAAGTTTCTTGGCCAGCTTGTGGCTATCAGAAAACACCTTTTAGAATGGTAGAAGACTCAGGGATGTAGTGGTTCCCGTTTGCTGCCATGGAACCCCACCGGTCTTCCCTTGGAAACAGAATCCCACCCTGGCAAGAGATCTTCAGGAAACAAGAAAAAAGCTATTAAAGGTGAGAGTTTTTTAATTTTCGATTTTTCTTCCTTTTAGATTTCCACAGAAGGTCTTATCAGTCAAGAGGCTGTACTCTTATGCTTAGAAAAAGACGCAAGAAGGGAAAATAATCATTGCTCGAAGGCTGTGTCACATTTTGTCTCTGTCCTTTGCGGCCTTGCTTTCCCTAATGTCTGGTTTTCTTTGGTGGTACTCAGTACCCTGTACTGTATCCCAAAGGTGTAGGTGTAGCTTGGTGGAACAAGCATCATTATTTCAGGCAAAAACACTGGGGCGGGGTGGGGGGGGCAGGTAGGGAGAGGAGTCCTGGATTTGCTGCTTATAATGTGTGTTATTTGGCAGGTTCTTTAGCTTCTGCCTTCCTGTCTATAAAAGAGGCCTAATAATACGACATTTCAGTTGGTTGTGAAGGTTAAAGGGGACAACGTTCAGAAATATTTCTGGCCTATAAAAAGCATTCATTAAATATTGTATATTCACAGCTATGTGTGTCCCTGTGTGTAGATCTATTTTTAATTCGGGTGTATTATCTGCATGATCACAAGGCAGTTTTTGGATAATATCAAATTGTTTGTACTTTTTAAAGAACATTTCTAGATACCATATCTGACCAGTGAATTCTATGTGGTGAGAAGCCTGCTAATACTACATAAATTGCCAAAAAGGAGCAAGAAATGTAATTTTGCTTTGAAAAGCACATTTAGAGTTTTAGAACTGATACTCACAGTCTGAATTTCATGGGTTTTCTTTATGGATATCTACCAGACCTCAGAGAAGAGCTATTCTACGGTGGGAAGGGATGAGAGAAAGAAGGAGGAATGACGAGTGGGGACTTCCTCTCAGTAATTTGAGACAGAGTCTCACTCTGTCACCCCAGTTAGAGTGCAGTGGCATCATCATAGCTCACTGCAACCTCAAAGTCTGGATCCTCCTGCCTAAACCTCCCGAGTAGCTGGAACAATAGGACACACCACTACACCCAGCTGATTTTCTCTATTTTTAAAGTAGAGGCGGGGACTGGTTCTTGCTCAGAGCTGGTCTCAAACTCCTGACCTCAAGAAATCGTCCCACCTTGGCCTCCCAGAGTGCTGGGATTGTAGGTGTGAGCCATCACGCCCAAGAAGCCAGTTTTGCCTTTTTTCTCTCCTGGAATGGAGGTGGAGAGAGCTAATTTGGGCAGCTGATCCCAGTGTGGGTAGCTAGTTTGTTGGGTCAGTTTATAGTTAGGTCACTATCAGCAGGCCGGGGGAACAGGCTCCCCAGGCATGTCCCTGTGAGGGTATTTGTGGGGAGAAGAAATACGTTTTTCCTCCCCATCACTTTAGGATTGAACTTGATGTTCCTGGGAATGATTAGATTGTAATCAGAGGCATTTTGTTCTGTCCAAGGATTCTTTGCTCCTCCTTCGCTGGGCCCAGGCTCTGCTGGTCCCCCGTTCCAGGATGATGATTACATGGAGGAGACTCTGCCAGCAGCATTACCTGTGGGCCCTGGGCTGCTATATGTTGCTGGCCATAGTTGCTCTGAAACTTTCTCTCAGATTAAAATGTGACCCTGAACACATGGACCTGGAGTCCAGGGGATTCCAAAGCCAGCGCTGTAGGGATATCTTGTACAAGACCTTGAAGCTGCCAGCAAGGAGCTCCATCAACTGTTCAGGGGTCACCCGAGGGGACCAGGAAGCTGTGTTGCAGGCCCTTCTGGAAAACCTGGAGATCAAGAAGAAGCGGGAACCTCTCACAGACACAGACTACCTCTCCCTGACCAGAGACTGTGAGAACTTCAAGGCCAAAAGAAAGTTCATACAGTTTCCACTGAGCAAAGAAGAGCTAGACTTCCCTATTGCCTACTCTATGGTGGTTCATGAGAAGATTGAAAACTTCGAAAGGCTGCTACGAGCTGTGTATGCCCCTCAGAACATCTACTGTGTCCACGTGGATGAGAAGTCCCCAGAAACTTTCAAAGAAGCGGTCAAAGCTATTATTTCATGCTTCTCCAATGTCTTCATTGCCAGTAAACTGGTTCCAGTGGTTTATGCATCCTGGTCCCGGGTGCAGGCTGACCTGAACTGCATGGAAGATTTGCTCCAGAGCTCAGTGCCATGGAAATACTTCCTGAATACCTGTGGGACAGACTTTCCACTAAAGACCAATGCCGAGATGGTCCAGGCCCTGAAGATGTTGAATGGGAGGAACAGTATGGAATCCGAAATACCTCCTGAGTCCAAAAAACAGCGCTGGAAATATCACTACGAGGTAAGAGACACATTGTACATCACAAACAAGAAGAAGGATCCTCCCCCCAATAATGTAACTATGTTCACGGGGAATGCCTATATTGTGGCTTCCCGAGACTTCATCCGACATGTCTTAAAGAACCCCAAATCCCAACAACTGATCGAATGGGTAAAAGACACGTATAGCCCTGATGAGCACCTCTGGGCCACACTTCAGCGTGCACGATGGATGCCTGGATCTTTTCCCTACCACCACAAGTTTGACATCTCAGACATGACTTCCATTGCCAGACTGGTTAAGTGGCAGGGTCATGAGGGAGACATCAATAAGGGGGCACCGTATGCGCCTTGCTCTGGAATCCACCAGAGGACTATCTGTATTTATGGAGCCGGGGACCTGCACTGGATGCTTCAAAACCATCACCTGTTGGCCAACAAGTTTGACCCAAAGGTAGATGATAACGCTCTTCAGTGCTTAGAAGAGTACTTACGACATAAGGCCATCTACGGCACTGAACTCTGAGACACAATATGAGAAAATTGCTACTTGTGGGGGCAAGAGCCTGTGCAAACATGCCCAGAATTTCCTGGGACAGTGTGGGGTGGGAGACCAGGGCTTTGGAATCCCTGGTGTCCCCTAGGTTGAGGGGTGCTGCTGAGTGGATCTGCTGCTGCAAGCCTTGCCGACTGTGCTCAAGCCCTGACCGCAGGAGCTCCTCCGGCTTTTGTCGCAGAGTGAGAATGAGAGCTGCTGTCATTTGGGAGAGTAAGGGGGGAGGAGGGTGGCAGAGGACGCTGGATTTCAGTTGAATGTCTGGTGGCAGCTCTTTTTGCTCTGGGGAGAGGTTATCCTTAATCATTTTAGGCTCGGTAGTGCAGAGGGGGACTTTGGTGGGAAGAGAGCCTTCCCTCTTGTACTGTTATGTAAAAAATAAACAGCTCCTGATTCAAAGCCCTACCTCTGCTTTTTGCCTAATATACCAGAAATAGTACAAATGTGAACACATGAGGTGTATCAGACCTTTTGTCACAACTGTTGGTGACCTTTAATATCCCCAGTGGCTGACAAGAGAGTCCTCATTCTCCTGAAATGGTCTGGGCAACCTGTATGAATAGAAAACTCAACAAATGTACAGAACAGAGCTGGTTCTTCCATTGTTGAAAGCCCTCTCATTTTGTTTATGGGGTTCATGACTTCTGTAAGGGAAAAGGCAGGGTGATTTAGCCAGTTTGACCACCCCTACCCTTGTGGAAAAAGCATGGCACTGATATTTGTCAGTATCACAGCCAAAGCTTAACAAACGTTCCATAACAGGGTTAATAGCCATTTAGGTAAAGCCACCTACAGGGTGTCTATAAAATTCACGTGCAATTTAAAAGGGTTTACTTTCTGGACACCCTGTGTAATTTATCATCCCAAAGTGGAACAACACATTTGAGTAGGGGGGAAGGGTTCCACTATTAATCAATGTATTGAGAAACAAAAATGAACTTGGACTGTCTACCTAAACCAGGATGACTGGTTATTCCATGTTTAGACCGCTTGTGTCAAAACTCTCTTATTTCAGTATGTGAATGGAGGACTTCTTATTTGTGATTTTGCAGGTTATATGTATGTTTCTTTGAGGGGAGACAATAATATGGGTAATATGTATATATGTATACACACACATACATACATATATTTTACATACGTATAGTGCGTGTCTATGTATGGACACATATGCATATGTATATACACACACATTTCCCACCTCCAAAATGTTACCTGCTGAAACAGTTTTCTCTCTGAAGCTCTAGAAATAATGGTTGGCTATTGGTCATACTCTTCTGTGATGGACGACGGATATTACGAAACTACGGGCAGCACCCTTTGAATATAGTACACTTGATCTTCTGCATACGCTATGCTCTGGAAAAGTGATTTCTATGCAACTTGATTTGTGTGACTTGAACACTGCCATAATATCATCAATACGTTTCTTCACTTGGGATCATGATTCAGTTCATCAGGTTTTCTTTCGTGATCAACTTTTCTGTGCAACCTCTGTCACTCTGGCACAGTTATCACTGTCTGACATGGTGAATGTTTTTGTCCTTAAGTTTGTGATTCTTTTTTGTAAGGCTGTACTCCTTTGGTAACGGGCATTGCCACCACCAACTTGTCTGCACTGTAATATTGAGTTCTCTCCCCCTTGCTGCCATCCCCACTGTGGGTGGAGTCGGACCCTGGACTAGTTATATACACAGTGGATGTGCCTTGTAAGGTCTGTGGTCCTCAGCAGTAATCAGGGACCTTCCTCCTCCCGGCCTACATGACTGTCCTTGACCCTCCACTGAGGGAGATAGAGGGGGCTGCACTGCCCCCCTGGGAGGGAGGCAGAAAAGCTTCCCCGAGTGCACAGGTTCTGAGAAAAGAACTCACGTCCTTGGCCTCTTATTTAACTTCCTTGAAGAGCTTAACTCATGTGGAATAAGTTATAATTTTTCATATAAATAAATGAAAAAGCTTAAAATGTGAACTTATCATTTTCCAGGGAACAAGTGGCTGAAATTTTCCAAGCCTTGAAATTTTCTCCAGAAATGCATTCAGGCGCAGAGAAAGGGCTCTTTATGTAGGAGAGGAAAGTCTTCGTATCAGAAGGGTCAAATTTTCCCTTCCACTTGTTTGGTATCTTTAAAAATCATACAGGTAAACCAACCCATCTGTTGATTTTTCCTTCCCTCTGAGTCATAGCTGTTTCTTTGACCTTTCTCTGGAAAGGAAAAATCTTATAAACGAATTGAGCAACTATGTGTGTATTAGCTCTGAAGGGTTGAATTTCCTCCTTTTTTTAATGTGCAGATTATTGGTGAGCACTGTTGTAAGAACCATCTCCTGTGGTACAGTCTGCTCGTCTCGTTGTCATTTTTGCTCTTCTCTCGATGGCATGAACATTTTTGAAGAAAGGAAGAAAAGACGATTGGTAACCTTGTTGGGGAAACATATGACATAACGTAGTTGGGAAGGTCTAGTATTTTGATTAGAAAGAATAATTAAATGCCCAGTCTGCTTGCCAGATTCAAGTATCTTAATTGACCCAAAGATTTGGTTTTACTTCTTCCTTTCAGTCATTTATTTATTACAAAAACGAGTAAGATGTACTTTCGGACTTTATGAAACTTGAATGTACTGATAAGCAATGAATTAACTTAGTCATTGATACCACACATTTTATTTACTTATATATTTTCTTCCTCTTATGTCAATGTATACATAGGCATACCTGGGAGAGACTGCAATTTGGGTTTCAGATCATAACAATAAAGCAAATAGTGCAATAAAGCAGATCAAAGTTTTTGCTTTCCTAGGGCATATAAAATTTATGTTTATATTATACTATAGTTGTTAAGTGTGCAATAGCATTATGCCTAAAAAAAAAATGTATCAGTTGGGTGGCGCCTGTGGCTCAAAGGAGTAGGGCGCCAGCCCCATATGTTGGAGGTGGCGGGTTCAAACCCAGCCCTAGCCAAAAACTGCAAAAAAAAGCATCAGTATATCCCTTAATTCAAAATATTTTATTGCTAAAAAATGCTAGTGATCATCTTTTGTTTTCTTTTTACTGATAGAAG